TTGTTTATATCATCTGGAGTCGGATACTTGCTTGAAGGATGCAAGAATAATAGTATATGGGCGTGTGGTAAACCCCGCTTTTGGAATTCAATGGTGTATATATCTGAAATTAAGTAAGTTTAAACTTAGTAAAACGATGCATATTACATATTTAATAAGATTAATGTCAAAAAATATAACTCGACTGAAAGGGTATTAAATTGACTTACATGCAATCACTCTCCCTAACACGTGCTTTTTTGTTAGATCACACAACAACTCATCGAACTTAATTTTGAAGACTCTTGAGATGATATCTGGACGGTCTTGAGAATTCAAGTTAATTTTGCTAAGCAACCTTTGGATTTCAGGCCAGTTGGGATTGCAAGTAAATGTGATAAAAAGATCTGGAAATCCAACTTGGCTACAAATTTCCATTCCATCAAAATAGAGTTGTTCCATAAACCTCTGACTTCCAACATAAGTTGAAGGTAAAACCACTCTTTTACCTTTGTTTGATCCTTGAGTGTTTGCATTCTGTTCAGATGAGCTCAAATTGCAATATTTAGAAACACGCAGCTTTTTCTGATGTTTTCGAATATAATTCAATCTTTGTGACTCCATCATAGTAAATCCATCAACCAAAAATTGTTGAAACAACCTTCTTGACCGCAATATAGTTTGTGCCTCGTTATGTCTGCATTGAATCCTAAAAGCAAGCCATTCTCTAATGGTAAGCTTATTCCTCTTCATTTTTTTTTTGTATTAGTTTCTCTAAGAAGAACTCCAAGTCTAAAACCATCTTCCCCATAAGGAAACAAAAGTTGATATTGATATGCCAGATAACTTGAATGAAACTCACTTATTCTTTTTAGCCTTCCGCTCTTTCTTTCAAGAAGAATATCCCTCTTAGAACCCGTATCAACATCACCAACTATTAGGGCGGCTACCTCCGAAACAGTAGGTTGGTTATAAATCCTTCCATCTGTTGATCTATCAGATATTAGCTTAAGCTTGAGATCAGGCAAAGGACAATCCTTTAATCTATCTGCTGCCATCCTAAAAGATTTGGCATGTGTGTTGAACTCATCTAACATGTCCTTCAATCTACTAACTGTTTCTGGAATAATATTGGGGTTGTTCCTGCATATAAAAGGAAATACTATGATGCAGCAATGAAAAATATTTAATATGTTGTAAAGAAAACAAAGTTTGGTAAAAACAATTACATCAATATTTGAATTTTGTTCGTTTATCAAAATATTTGTAAGTTATTTAAGTTTATAAAAATAATTGTAAAAATAAATATTTACCATATTATCTTAAATTTATTTATTCAACAATGATAAATATGTGTCTCTTAGTTAATTACATTTATAAATAAATATCGTGTATTAGTGATATATATTAAATTTATTATCTTAATGTCTAACTAATTAAAATAAATTTATTATTGTCAATCAAAAATTATAATATTAAATAATAATATTATATTATTATTATATACGGGAAAAAGAATAAATTAAATCTAAGAATATCGGAAAGTTTATTATAATATTAAATAATAATTTAACATTTATTATTACAATGAATCATATATAACATTTCAAAATTATGTATTTATTTCTTATGTTTTATTATATTTGATTTGTAATAAATATTTTTCAGTTTATTGCGAATTTTCAATAATTAAAAATTAATGATATTATACAAAATTAATTTCATGAAATAAATTTATTTAATAAAGTGTTATATAAATATTTAATACATTATATTATACCATTAATTTATATAAAATGATATTAACTTATTCCTGTTTATAAAATTATTGTAACTTTTTTCCAGTTTATAAGCATGTTGAATTCGTGTGTCCATTATTAAAATATATGTAATTTACTATTATTGATATAAATAATTTTATAAATAGTTTAATTTATTACATTTATAAAATTATTTGTAATTTATTCACCTTTATAAAATTAATTATAAATTATTTAATTTTTTAAAGTGATTGTATCAATAATTTTTTATTTTATCATAAATTTTTATGATTATCATTTATCATTAAATTTTCATGATTACCATTTAATTTTTTTTTATCATGATTACAATTATAAAGTTAATTTGAAAAGATTATGATATATTTTAGTTATTTCATAAACTTTAAAAAATTATCAAATTTCAATTGATTTTGTTTTGTTTTATTAACCTTTTTATAGAAATTGAAATAATTTATTTTAGGTCAAATAAGGATCTAAATAATTACAAAATAATATTTATTCTTACATTTATAGAATGATAAAATAAATATTTAAGATAAACATTAGAGTTCTTATTTACTTTAAGTTTTATATATTTATAATATACCTTTTTTTGTTAATTTTATTAACAACATATTTATAGTTAACAATACATCCTTTAAACTATGTTATTTTTTTCAAGAATATAAATGTAACCTTTCAAAAAATATACACAAATATATTTAGAAGTCGGTAGAAAATTTTATTGGTTAAATTATAATTCAATTCAAAATTTATTGATCATAAATTTTTGAAATCAAATCATGCATAAAAATAAAATGTATTAATGTGACCATTCAAAATATTTTCTATATATAATAAAAATAAATAATATTCATACCTCCATTCAAAAGATATATTTGTAAAGTTTTGATTTAATTTTTTTCATATCTTTATATATTCTAATGTATATAATATTCCTACAATATGAAACAATATCAAACCTATAATATTAAAAGAGAATTCAAATTTTATTGATCATAATATTTTATGGAATCAAATCATATATAAAAATTAAATATATTTATGTCATCATTCAAAATAATTTCCATATAAGTATAATAAAAATAAATGATAATAATGCCTCCATTCAAAAGATATATTGGTAAAGTATCGAATTAAATGATACTCCAATATTTGATTAAAAAATTGTAATATTTGTTTTTAATATTGTATAAAAATATATTAATTAGTCGTACTTTAAAAAAATAAATCGTAAATATTTTATTAAAAATTGTAATATTTGTTTCTAAAATTATAGCAATTAAAAATAAAAAAATATTAATACAAAATAAAAAATTTATTCAAATTTCACGACAAATGAGAATTATAATTTCGATTCAAAATAAATTAGAATTTTGAAGGCACATCAACACCAACATGTAGGTTATTATCTTCTCTATAGGAGAAGAGAAATTCTATTTAAAAAAGATTGTAAATATGTTAATTGAACGAAACTTAGGGTAGTGTGTTTGCTAGAGGTAATGCTATATTCCATTTAATTATAATAGATCTAATTTGACCATTCCAATTCCTTCCTCGTTAACCGTGAAAAAAAACATTGGAATTTGGCCATTAGAATTCAAATTCTGTCAAAAAAAAACATTGGAATTCAAATATAAATAAATTAAACATTGGAATTGGAATTCAAATATAAATAAAATTCAAATATAAATAAAATTCAAATATAAATAAAATAAATTAATAAATCAAATAAATAAAAAATAGTGTAAAATTATGATAGATTGACATGTCAGCAAAATTAAATGTTTGAGTCGTTGATGTCTTTCACAGCTTCAATCGGTCGCGCCATTGATGTTACTATTTAGACCTGTTACAAAATCTGTATTAAAATGAACACAGAGAATCAAAATATGGGAATGAAGAAGAATTGGAAAATAATAAGTAAGCTTTTGAAAATAATGGAGAATGAAGAAGATTGAGGAGTGAAAGAGTAAGGGTTTAGAATGACTATATATAGGGTTTAGAATGCATGAGAAGTTGTGATATCTTGGAATATCAAAATAATCCATTCTAATTCCAATAATATACCTTTAATCTTGTAGTGTAATGATAAATAGTGGGTATTTTTAAATCATGCAATGAATAATATTCCATTTAATTATAATAGATCTAATTTGGCCATTCCAATTCTTTCCTCATTAACCGTGAGTCAAACATTAGAATTCAAATTCTCTCAAAAAAAACATTGGAATTCAAATATAAATAAATTAACCGTGAATGAAACATTGGAATTGGAATTCAAATATAAATAAAATTCAAATATAAATAAAATAAATTAATAAATCAAATAAATAAAAAATAATGTAAAATTATGATAGATTGACATGTCAGCAAAATTAAATGTCAAATGAATATGGTAACAGCATACTGTTGATTAGTCTATTATACTCTTGAAATAAGAAAAGTTATAACATCTAATCAAAATGTTAGACTTGGAATTTCCAGGTACTTTACTTTTAATAGATTGATAATAGATAGATAATAGATAATAGATAATAGATATTAAAAAATATAGTGACATGATTATCACATCGCAACAGACAATTTTTTGTCATGTGATAATCACGTCACAAAAACACTTTGCATTTGCATGAGAGAGTATTTTTTATAATGAGGAGATGTGGCTTATCAACTGATATTACCACCTCCTTTATCTGTTCTTAGTGATGTATTCCATGCGTCTCAATTCAGGAAGTTTATAGTAGACCTCTTCCAACCTATTCTGTTGGAGTTAGTAAAATTTGCCCTGTACCTTACATTCTACCCTCAACCAAGTCGAGTGTACATTCGACGGTGAAGTCCCTGAAGAACAAGGAACAATGGTTTTCCTCGGTTCTCCTCTCTTTATGTAATTGGATGCTCCAATTGCTGACCAAGCAAGAACCTCTTGTCCAACTCCATCGACTACATGAGAATAGAAAATTATGAAGACGGCCAAAAGCAATTAATTAGTAAATAACTCGTATTTATGATCAGACGGCATGAAAACACATAAAGCAAAAAAGACAAACGATTAAGGTATGAATCCAACTTAGCATATTCTAATGTTTGAGTGGAAGGAGTCCCAAGTCCTAACAAATATAATTAATATATTGCCGATGTTTTCAATGGAAATTGTTGTGGAGTATTACAGTGTAAGTATTTATATAGACAACACAAACTAAATGAGTTTAAATCAAACTCAAGTTTTCTCCTAACATGAACATCTTTGGTCGTTCTTCCCCACCACCTAAATGGTCAGCTCAATTCTGCGGCTGTGGAGAAAACCCAACAACATGTAAGATCAATACATATAGCTAGCAAAAAATAATTATACATAAATTTTAATGGTTAATTTGTTAAACTAAAGAAAACACAAAATTTGCAGGTTTGATAACTTGCTGTTTGCCATGCATCACGTTTGGCCAAATTGCAGAAGTTGTAGATGAAGGACGTAGTTGTAAGTACACAACAATAACATGCATATTTATATATTAGTTAAGATATTTCTTATATTAGTTATGATTTTGAATAATGAATGAATGCAGCTTGTGCGGTGCAAGGATGTGTGTACGGGTTACTGATGACCATTACATGTCACTGGCTGTATTCATGTCTTTACAGAGAGAGACTGAGAGCAAAGTTCGGTTTACCAGCTGAACCTTGTTGTGATTGTTGTGTTCATTTCTGTTGTGAAGCATGTGCATTGTGTCAAGAACATGCTGAACTTAAAGCAAGAGGTTTGGACCCTTCGAAGGGTTGGATTGGGCCACCACATGCTCCTCCGCCTCACATGCCTCCTACCATGTTTCGATGATCAATCTGTTCTTCCAATTTAGCGCAAATGAAACCTTTTCGATGCTTATTACTTATTAGGAACGTGATCATGTATTTTACTACAGTATACTGTCATTTAGAAATTGAGCTCAGATGAGTAATGTTGTTGATTCATGTATTGCCAGAATTTATAGATGTCAAATTTATTCAGAGAAAGTTTCCTGAATTTATACATGTCTACTGTAATCATCAGGTATAGTTAGGAAATGTTCAAACTCATGTATAGATTTAGTAAGATAATGGCCCGTATCTGTTAAAATGGAGAAAATGAAAAACACAAACTTCATTTTTTTGCTAAGAGGAAATGGTAAGACTTTCCGTATAATGTTAAAATGGACCAAATAAAAAACTCAAATTTACTGTGCCAGTTAAAGAAGATGACATATGCAAATAAGTTGTTGGCAAACAAGTTGATGGCAGGGTGAGGGAAGCCGATGTGGAGAGGGATTGGCCAGAAATATGTTCTTGTAGAACCCATTCGTAAGTTTATTTTTAGGAAAAAATAAATGGGACAACTTTTGTACCTTTTACAAAAAATTGAGTAGTGTACCTTTAACCAATCACATGATACCATTTAATTTTAGTATATTTTATATTGCGTAGGAATACTAAACGGTTAGCTTCCCTATATAAATAAGGAGAGTCTCAAAAGTAGATTTCTGTAAGTATGATTGAGAATTTGAGAGCTACGCTAGTAGTGCGTATTGTTTCAAGAATATTTTTTTTTTTTTATCCCTCTTACGGGAGCGCCTATAATAGCTTCCATAATACATCCAGGAGCTTCCTTTAAGACGTTCATTGGAGTTCCTCACATTATCATTGGTCTGAAATGTCTGCCGTCAGCCATCATTGATGCAATTAACTCAGGGTAACGACTGATGATTAATAGCTGGTGACCGTTTCTGGAGTTACAGCCGAGTCGTCTCGATGACTCTTCGTATCCTGCTGGGTTGTGTCCTGGAGAGTATTACCGGATGTAGGTACTCGAAGATAGGACGCGGCCTAGCCCTCTGGTCCCGAAGACACTATCCGAAAGTACACACATATCTACACGTTCTTGCCATCCTCCTTAACCCGACTATAGGTCCCGACTCGACATATACATTCTAGAATGTACATAAGCCCTTGACATACATGTCGACATCGAGATGTATTATACTACAATATTTTTGAGTTTACTCCAAACTACACTTGCCAACGGATAAAAAAGTGCAGTTTAAAATAAGAATAAGCAAGGGTTTTAAAAGTAATATAGGACCCTATATGAATTCCAACAAAAAAACGCGCCCTATCCGTGTTCTATTTAATTTTAGTGGCAACACATTTTAACCGTGGTCTAAAATACATTTATTGTCGCCTTAAATCATACTAATTTTCTAGGAGTAGATTGTGACAGATCTTTCTTTTGTCTTTTGTTTCTTGGGATTTTGAATAGTAATTAATTGATTGGACCATTTACTTCAACATTGTCTCAGATTCCTAATTTGAAGAATCGACAAGTTATTTTAGCATGTTACTGATCAGTAGTGTGTCAGTAAAAAATGGAATTTTTTTCTTTTTTTCCCAAAACAGGTAGAAAACCTTGGTAGCCACTCATGTTCAGATTTAAAAGTTCTTTTGTTGTTCACCATCATAACTTGTTGCACGTGCACACACACCACCCTGTTCACCAGCATAACCTGTTGCACTGCTGCCATTTGAATAATTTGCCAACCATTATTCTTTCTACTTGTGAAGATTTAGAAGAACTTCAACTCTTTTGACTAAGTTGAAGTTTTTTAATATTCATGTTGCAGTTCATATAACTAGCCATCTAGCAAATAAAATATTATATTTAGCTTTTAGATAGAAATATGATTTTAATTTTGTATCATTATAACATAATAAACAGGACCAAGCATTTGCAATTTTGGAGAGAACAATTCAAATTATAAGTTAGTAATTTGGTGGAGTCTTAAATTTATGGAGATCTATTTCCAATTGCAATGTGTTCTAGATTTGAGTTTAATTATTTCATTAAGTCTAAATGTTAGTCGGTTAATTCTTGTTAGTTGCTATTTGAGTTTTAGTTTGTATTTGAGTCTGGACTTGTTGCTTATATATAGGGTATCACTTGTAATCCACATATACTGCAATAACAAATAACAGATTCAGCTTTAAAGAGTTAGTTACACTAACTAACTCAACAATCTCTCTCTTCTTCTTCTTCTTCTTCTTTTTGTTTTTCACTATATTCATCTTTCTTGAATCCTTTGTTCCAACAAATTGGTATCAAGAGCTTGTTTGCGATTCAGAGAGAATCTAATGGCAAACGGATCAACAACCTCAACACAATTTCTAGCAAATCTTTCGGTTTTCAAAGGTGAAAACTATCAAAGATGGGTGACATAAATGAAGGTTATTTTCAGATTTCAAGATGTTGTAGAAATCGTGAATGATGGAATGCCACAACTGGAGGAAGATGCTACAGAAGCTCAGAAAGTTGCGCACAAAGATCAGAGGAAGAAAGATGACAAGGCGATGTTCTTGATTCACCAGGGTGTGCATTGTGATGTGTTTGAGAAGATAATCGAAGAAGAAACAACAAAAGAAGCTTGGGAAAAGCTGAAGTCTTTGTATGGTGGAGATGAGAAATTGAAGAAAGTAACGTTGCAGACTCTGAGAAAGCAGTATGAGATGCTGCAAATGAAAGAGGATGAAACTATTTCAGCATATTTCTCAAGAGTGGTGATGCTAACAAACCAGATGAAGGCGTGTGGTGAAGCATTAACGGATCTGCAGAAGATAAAAGAGGTATTAAGATCTCTAATTGCAGATTTTGATTACTTTGTTGTAATAATCGAAGAGGCCAAGAATCTATCTGAGATGAAGTTGGAAGAACTTCAAGCTTCTTTGGAGGCTCATGAAATGAGTCTGCAGTAAAGAAACTCAGAAAGAGAGAAGACAGCTGAACAAGCATTGCAATCAAGATTTAGCAAGCATTTGGTCTACCCTAAAATTATATGATTTACCTAACCTGGTATTTGATCTTCATGGACAAAAATTTTTTCCTGTGTAAAAAAATGAAATATTTCCGGTAAACAATGTAACAATTTTTATTAAAAAAATGATCACCCATCGGTTTTATTTGAAAATCGAGATAAAAAAAGACGCTTGTTTTTGTAAATGATAAAAATTTGTGGATCAAACTCATACGCTATTAAAATACCCCTTAGTGTTTTAAACGCCGAGGTGATAAGTCCATACTTTTTATGACGATTTTATTTACCTCGCTTCAGATGCCGAGGCAAAATGCATTTCGCGTCTGACATTAGATACATTATTTGTAATAGTGGTGTTACACTAACTGTCAATGTCTTCTTGAGAAATTCTGACTATACTATAGTCTCTCAAGGAACTATCAACTCTAAGGTTGAAGTACAAAATGTGTTTACAAGGATGCTTCTTAGAAAGCGGATTACACAAGTTGAAATACACAGAAATAACACAACAATATTAATAGCAGAACAAAAGTTCCTTACTTCACCGCTCTTTACAAAATAATAAACGAATTAGAGAATTTTGCATAGAGTTTATTATCACTGATGCAAAAGTTGTTTCTTTGTTCTTCTAAGTCTTCATTATATAGCCAAAGAAAGATCCGTTTGAGGGTAGAATAGGAATTCCAAATTTCTACTGTCTTCTTGTGTAATAATCAGTGAGAGTGGTAGACAACATCGTACCTTAGTATAGTTCTTGCGCCACAAAATTAGAGTAGTGGAAATATTGATTTTGTATCATGTGCTATTCACTCACGTAAATTATTTTGATCTTATCTTCTAATCTTCAGAGGCTTCTGATGTGTGTTGATGAAACATGCTTAGAAGGACCAAGAACATCAAGGAGAAACTTCAAAACCTATGTCTTTAAAGTCTTCAGAACTTGTTCTTGCAGAATATTGTCTCCAGAGTCTTCAGAACTTGTTCTCCCATAACCTTATCTTCAGAGTCTTCAGAGTCTTCAGAACTTGTTCTTCCAGAACCTTGTCTTCAGAATCTTTAGAACTTGTTCTTCCAGAACCTTGTCTTCAGAACCTTCGGAATCTTGGACTCAATCTAGAGCCCAGATTCTACATAAGTTCAAAGTCTATAACTAGCATTGTCCAGAGTCTTTTATATCCGGTTTCTTGCTTGTTCAAAGTCTGCACACTTAACGCATTGTTAGAGTGTAAAATTGTTCTCTAAACATACAATGCTTTGTTATCATCAATAATCAAGGATAGTTGTAGAACCAAACTTTTTTCAAAAATCTTCTCCTTTTTGATGATGACAAACCCATGTATTTTGATGAGCAATTTTTACTTGGACTAATCAACTTTTTATAAAATATTGTAAGCTTTCCCTGAGTTTTATACTATAAAAATTCTTTCAGCTTCTTCAAAGTGAGGTTTGCAAGCCCCCTAGAGATTAACACTTATGAATAATTTTAATTAACAATAATGATAAACAGTGAATCAAAATCATATCTTTTAATCAGATGCTTCTGTGTTTTCCATCAGTGCCACATTAGCTTCATCTTCGGAGTCATCTTCAGATGATTTCACATGTCACTCAACAAGATTGGTAATTAGTTTTCTCCATCATGAAGTATGTCTTTCCTCTAGCCGTTTCATACATGGGTATTTGGTTGTAGCTGGAGTATGCGTCCATGAATAATAAAAAATTATACTCGATTGATTTGTCCATCAACTTATCTATGTTTGACAGTGGATATGAATCTTTAGGACATGTCTGATTACGATATATGTAGTCGATACATATTCTCCATTTTTCAGAAGCTTTTTTGACTAACAAGACATTAGAAATCCACTAAATATATCATACATTGGAGATCAATTTAGCATCTAGCGGACCTTGAACAATCTAATTGCTTTGAATTCTTAGCAAATTGGCCCCTCCTTTGCTAGGATACGTACCGAGCCTTGGGGTCGATGTTCAACTT